GCTAAAGCTGCCGTTATCTGCTTAACTTCCGCCGGATGTCGCATGACCAACTTCCGGCTTTTAACTGCAGCTAACATTAGCATTCTGCTCATTTTAACTCATGTTAATCCTATCGAGCTGTCATGAAGGCAACTGGACTTCTTTTTGCATTTCAAGACTTTTCATTTCTCCTCCGAGGAGCTCGGTTTAACTCTCCCAGTCCACCGGAGCGAAGGAAAAATGTCCGCCATATTGGAAATGGCAAACAAGGCAGGAAACATGTCCACCATTTTGGACGGGGCAAGAAGACAGGAAAGACAGGTTTGAAAGCTTCAAGTTCGGGATTTTGCAGAAAAATGTGGCTTAACTTTAGTGTTTATTATACCCGATGGCCTACATCCTGGACTTGCCATTGTGTATCTGTTCCTTCTTCTCAGTGGCATGCACAGACATTTTGTGGGGCAGTTGCTCAAGTGGGAAAAAAAGGGCGCCTTTTGTCGCACATGGAACCATGGGCACCTGTACTAGGTGAGATATTTTTTACAGGCACAGCTTGTAAAAATCAATAGCCATATGGTGTCTGATGCAGATGTTTATTAATGTTCAACACTCTACAGGTTGGTGCCTCAATTTGGCAACAAGAGAACAAAGTATAGCAACGATATAGTGTCTATATCCAGGATATACCCAGACAGAGTTCTAAAATCTTTATAGTACAATGTACTTGTTGAGTGCAACACCAGTGTATTATATGCACTCACCAAAATGAACAAAAGATGCTTGAGAAACTTATATAACTAGTTTGATTACTAAATACACTAAAAGTACTGTCTAATGCAGGGCTATTCAACAAACTGCTCAGTGGGTTGAAGTTTCTGAAAGTCAACAGCTCAGGGGCCGGACATCCAGCTATTAAAATCATTATATACAGGTGCTGGTTATAAAATTAGAAAATCATGAAAAAGTTTATTTATTTCAGTAATTCCATTCAAAAAGTAAAACTTGTATATTCATTCATTACACACACTGATATATTTCAAATGTTTATTTCTTTTAATGTTGATGATTATAACTGACAACTAATGAAAATCCCAAATTCAGTATCTCAAAAAATTAGAATATTGTGAAAAGGTTCAATGGGCAGCACGGTGACGCAACTAGTAGAGCTGCTGCCCCTCAACAAGCAGGTCCCTGGTTCAAATCTTGGTTCAGGGGCCTTTCTGGGTGGAGTTTGCATGTTCTCTCCGTGAATGCGTGGGTTTTCTCCGGGTACTCCAGTTTCCTCCCACAGACCAAAAACATGCATGTTAGGCTGATTGGTAACTGTAAATTGTCCCCATGTGAGAGAGCGAATGGTTGTTTGTCTCGGTGTGTCCCTGTGATGGACTTGCGACCTGTCCAGGGTGTACTCCGCCCCTCGCACAGTGATTGCTGGACATGGGCACTGGCAACCCCCGTGAACCAAAATGGAAGAAGTGGGTAAAAGATAATGGATGGATGGAAAAGGTTCAATATTGAAGACACCTGGTGCCACATTGTAATCAGCTAATTAACTAAAAACACCTGCAAATGCATTTAAATGGTCTGTCAGTCTAGTTCTGGAGGCTACACAATCATGGGGAAGACTGCTGATTGACAGTTGTCCAAAAGACGACCACTGACACGTTGCACAAGGAGGGCAAGACACAAAAAAAAATTCTAGAATTGCGCCGCTTGGGGTGGCTGCATCCTTAGTTTACATATTTCCCAGGAGAAATTGATATGTTGGCCTGTAGCCGAAGCGTCTTATTTATGTACAAAATTTTGAATTATGTTATAGTTAATAAGTGCAGCTTACAGAAAGGTACATTCTAAAGTCCGAGAATTACGGTAATCAAACAGATTAACAGATATAAACTTAATTTTCTCAGTTTCAAAGTTGACAAATGAGCCTGTGGACTCAGCGTCAGATTTTATCTGTTTAGGCAAATTCTTCCTTTCAGCACGTAGCTGTAGAGGATGCAGGAGGATAAGGGAAACACTGTCTTAACACACAAATGTGGTCCTAGTGTCTGACATGTTTGTGAACTAAAACTCTTCATTTTAAATGTTGATTTCCTTCCTAGACAACCCATTTCCAGTGGGATTGTCAAACTACAGTTTAATGGTGATAAACTATAGATGCTAACTTCTCAACTCAAAGTTCGAATACACTCCTGTCAGGAACTTACAAGGTTCAATTCAATTCAGTTTCAATTCAGTTTATTTATATAGCGCCATATCACAACAAAGTTGTCTCAGGGCACTTTACAGGAACATTCACATACATAAAAGCCAATTAGTAAAGTTCTCTATAAGGAAGGTTCATAAGATAACATCTTCCTACCTGTGTGCTTTGTTGTGGAGTTTTAAATTTCTTCTGTTAGTAAAATGTTTTCCGCAGGTCTGACATGAGAAAGGCTTCTCACCTGTGTGAGTTCTCAGGTGAATAGTCAAATTGCTGCTCTGAGAGAAACTCTTACCACAGATTTCACATGGGTATGGCTTCTCACCTGTGTGAGTTCTCATGTGTCTGATTAAATGAGCATTTTGATTAAAATATCTTCCACAAGTCTGACATAAAAAAAGCTTCTCACCTTTCTGAATTCTCATGTGTTGAGTCACATGACCACTTTGAGAAATGCATTTACCTGAAATTGCCCAGGTATTCCACTTCTCACCTGGCCTACTTTGTCTGTCTGCATCATAACTGTGGTCACTGCTTTGCAGATGTTTGGGTTTTTGTTGTTTAGAGTCTTCATTTCTGCCCTGTTCCTGATCTTGGTTCTCAACTTTAGGAGAGTTCTGAGGAATGATCTGGACCCTCTTTGGTTCTGGTTGACTTAGATTTTTTCCCTTATAAGTGGCAGTTTCCATAAAGGTATCCGTTTCCTGATTCAAGACAAGTTGCTCTTCATCTTGACTGATGCAGAGTTCTTCCTGTTCCTCTTTCATCTGTGTTTCTTGTTCCTGCTGTGGAGCTTCTGGTTTCTCCTTATCCAAAAAGGAGTTCCACTCCTGGTAACAGAGCTGCTGGTCCTCCTTCCAGACATAATGCTGTGAGAGTTCTGGACAGAAAGAAACAAAAATGCTGTACTTAAATCACTTGATGAATAAGATTCACAAGACTTCAAAGGTTGGAAAGACTCCACTGTATGTGTAAGGACAGCAGGACACATAGGACTGCTACAGGACATGTATAAAGAGAGTAGGACATTTTAGACTGGTACAGGACAGGTATGATGGCTGTATATGTATAATTCAGCCTGATTTGCTTTGTCAGAAACTCAAGAAGACTCAGGTGGAAGCCTCAACAATCACCTGGATCAAAGACTACCTGACAAACAGACCACAGTTTGTGAGACTGAAGGGTTGTGTGTCTAACCAGGTGGTCAATAGCTTAGAAGCACCACAGGCGACTATACTCTCACCATTCCTTTTCACTCTGTACACCTCAGACTTCCAGTACAAAACAGACTCCTGAGGTGCTCCACAGAATGCCAGAGGAAGTCCTTCCCTGTGGCTATCAAGCTTTTCAACTCCTCCCCCTTTCTGCACATAAGACAATTAAAAATTAATCCTGTACTACAATAAACTCTTTAATGTTTCGGTCTGCACCTGTTTAGAACTTAATTGTTGGCATTTTTATATTCTCTGTTATTTTTATGTCTTGTGATTCTTGTGTATGTTCCTTTGTACTGAAACTCTGGCGCAATAATTTCCTGCGGGATCAATAAAGTTCTATCTTATCTTATCTGCAGAAATATTCAGATGACTGCAGTGGTCCGGTGTATCAGAGATGGACAAGAAGCTGAGTACAGGAAACCTGTGGACCGCTGAGGCATGGTGTGGAAACAATCATCTCATCTTGAATGTGAACAAAACAAAGGAGATGAATGTAGATTTCAGGATAAACAGGAACAGGTCCAACCCTATTTCCATCATGGGAGAAGAAGTGGAGGTGGTAGAGAAGTACAAATACCTTGGGGTTCACCTGGACAACAGACTGGACTGGAAATGCAACAGTGAAGTAATTTACAAGAAGGGACAGAGCAGACTGTACTTCTTGAGGAAGCTGAAGTCCTTCAGTGTTTGCAGCAAGATGCTGCAGATCTTCTATAAGTCTGTTGTAGAGAGTTCTATCTCTTCTGCCATCATCTGCTGGGGGAGCAGCACCAGAGCAAGTGACTTAAAAAAAGATCAACAAGCTCATAAAGAAGGCTGGCTCAGTTCTGGAGACTCCTCTAGAACCTTTGGAGATGATTGTACAAAGAAGGATTCTTCATAAAATGAATAACATTATAGACAACCCTCAGCATCCTCTTCATCAGACTGTCATACAACAACAGAGTGTCTTCAGTCAGAGGCTTCTTCAGATCTGCTGTAAGATGGACCGCAACAAGAGATCCTTCCTGTCCACAGCCATCAGCATCTAGAACAACTCTTTTTAATGAAACCAGGATGATGAGTTACAACAATATTTAATTTACCTTTGGGATTAATAAAGAATTTTTGAATTGAATTACACCTTCCCATATGTGTACCTGGAGATATTTAATTTACCATAATTCTCGGGCTACAGAACACACCTGTCTCTAAGCCGCACATACTAAATATAAGATAAATCATAATTTTGTACATAAATAAGATGCTCCGGTTATTTAGCCGTGGACATCCACTGTTCATTGTCAAGATCTGTGCCCAGCCAGCTGCAGCATAATGTGCAGCTTCCTTGTTGTAGTACAAGAATCAGCCACCGGATGGCATCTCACAGAATATAGCTTGCTTTCAACACGTTCAGACTGCATGATCTGATCGTCATAAGTTTTCATGATACTTCACTGTCTGACTCATTGTTAAAACCATTCAACCTACAAAATGGGCACAATAACTATCTTAAGCATAATCACTGGACAGAACAGTGCTAAACATCGACATAACCGAAAACAGCTGCTGTTTTTAAATGTACTTTCTAAATTATCTTATCTTAAATAAATTTGATGTGATTTTCAGTGGAACTTGTATGAGGAGACAGAGGAGGGGGAAGAGTCCCTCCTCCCTCTGTTGTCTCCACCACTCAGTTTCATGCATCTGAGCTTAAATGAGATACTGGTATTTAAACACATATTTAACATAGACAGAAAGAATTTAAAAGCTTTAATTAAAATATGTACAGACTTGACTGCTTAGACAACATGTGCTCAGAAGAGGGGAAGAGGAATGGCTTCCCCTGACACAACTGGGCATTCATGTAGCTGCCCATCACCCACCCCTCATGGGGGGGGGGGGGGGGGGGTTTGAGCTTGTGGGAAAACAGACAGCGTTAATGCCATAGGTACTCTTGACAGAAACTTCTCGCTCACGGTTCCAATTTTGCTTCTAAATACCCATAATCCACCACTATTGATCAACGAGGTACAATAATCTCATTGAGTCACAAAAACACAACACCAAGATAGACATGCATTGATCTGATTTTCTGTTAAAAAATCTGCTGGATGCTTAGATAAATAACGTTATTAACTTACTTTTTATGTATGTATATGTTTTCTGTACAGTGCCCTGAGATGACTTCTGTTGTGACTTTACGCTATATAAATAAACTGAATGGAAATGAAATTAATTTTCAAAAAAACAAAACTCTGGCTCCTTCCCTCACCCTCACCGACCCACAGTCCCTCACCGTTTCAAAGAGGGACTGTGTTTACACAGCGATTTCAGCACCATGCATGAAAAGCCCATAAAATTAAAAATCAACACAGAAACTCCGTCCGTCCGTCTGTGGATGTAGTCTGTCACCTCAGACTATGAGGAGAACAGGTTCACTTTCAAAGAGGAAAATTCCATCAGACTTTTTTTAACAGCAGTGTTAAAGGCATTGTTAAGAAGATTTTTTTTTTCGTACATAGCCCATTTTGTGTAACGGTATGTCACGGTACATACGGTATTTAAATAAAAGTTTTTCAAAATCTTTCTGTGTAAGGTAACTATCACTCACAGCGAGACAGAACTGAGGGTATAGTTCCCCCTCGTTCCCCCTCCCTGTGAGTTTTCTTTGTTCCGACACTTGTGTGCTGCGGAGCAGAAGTGATGCAGAAGTCGTCAAATTTATTTTTAAAGCACATTTTAAAAACAGCAGCTCTTACCAAAACATGCTTAACAATAAAAATCAATGGCAGTAATTTAATTCAATGAACGTTTACCGTTCTGTAGTATTCTTCTGAGTACTGCCAGTCACATGACCTTGATAAGGATTGTGGGTAAAATTTACCAGTACGTTAATTCTTTAATCATTTCGGTTACATAGGCGTTTAGCTCTGCTCTGTCCAGTGATTACAGGTAGTTAGGGCTGGACGATGTTAGGAATAAAATGACATTTGATGATAAATTGTGGAAAATTACATAATAGGGGTTGGTGAATATAATGTTTAATTATGAATTATGGAAAATGGATCACATAAAGATGACTAGAATATCTGTCAGATGTGTAAACTAAGCCAGAAGTTGATAAATAATATATTTTTAGTAACTGCTAACTTTAACTTTGGGGCGGCTGTGGCTGAGTGGTTAGAGCAGTTGTCCTCCAATGCGAGAGTTGGGGGTTCGAATCCACCAGCAGTCACAGGTCGAAGTGTCCCTGGTCAAGACAATGAACCCCTCATAGCCTCTGATGTGTGTCCCATCAGTGTATGAATGTGATAAATCACTGATTAGTCTCTTTAGAATGATTTGTTCAATTAGCTTTGTAGAGATCTAGTAGAGTGCTGTATGAATGGGTAAATGAGGCACAGATTGTAGTGTAAAGAGCTTTGAGTATCTTGATCAGATAGAAATGTGCTATATAAATACAGTCCATTTAAAATCAACCATGACACTTATTGCTGTCAGTAGGAAAATAGTTCCTTGTAAGGCCTTTAATGAGAAAACAAAACAACCTCAAAGGTTCTTGTTCAGTTAAACTCACATCCGAACACACAGCGGAGACAACAAACAGGAGGGGCTCTTCCCCCTCCCCTTCCACCATGAGAGCTCAGCGGAGAAGTCGTCAGGTTTATTTTTAAAGCAGTCAGTCAAGCCTGATACATATTTAAATAGAAGTTTAAAAAAATATTTTGGTGTATGGTAAATATGTGTTTAAATACCAGTATCTTATTTAAGCTCACATCCGAGCATGGCGCAGAAGAGACAAGGGGAGTGGGGAGGGGGGGCTCCTTCCTCCTTCTCCTCATATGAGCTCTGCTGAGCAGATATCACGTCAAATTTATTTAGAAAGTACATTTAAAAGCAGCAGCTCTTACCAAAAGTGTTTAACAATAAAAATCAATGGTACTAATTTATTGAATATTTACTGTATTTTACCAGTTCTATTTTACTTCTGTTCACAAGGCCTAGATAAGACTTTAGTAATATTTACCGGTATATAATTTATAAATAATTTCTGTTACATGGTATGGTATGGTATAAAGTTTTTTCATTTTAAAAAAGTACAAAACAATTCTATAACAATATAAAAAAGATACAAGATATTTAAAATGAAAGGCAGCAGAAAGAAGAAAAAATCTTAATATATATGCCCCTTTTTTCAAACAATTATTTCAATCATAATAATTTTCAAGTAAAGTAAGATTTGAGAACTGAGTTTCCGTACAAAATCCTAGTGATGGTTTCTTTTTTTTTTTGTTCTAGAATTGCACCGCTCAAGGTGGCTGCATGTTGGAGCAGCTCTGTTACTTTCATTCTAAGATTTTACTTTTGGAAACTTTAATTCCTCTTTTTCTGGATGTAAATCACATTTTTTGGATGGTTGTTTCCTCTGGTATCGGATGCTGTGCAGCTGGAAGGATTTTTACTGAAACTTTTTTAGTTTTAGACATTTGTTATGATGCGTAACCATGGCAACAAGGCAGTTTTCTACAACCAACAGCAGCTAATTAACATCTCAAACGCTCAAATAATATCTCGACTACAGCCCCAAATCTCAAATGAGTTGAAAAGGATGTTCTGTGGATGCATTCTCATCTACCTGCCAGCTGTGCTCGAGTGCCTGACCACTGAGATCCTGGAACTAGAAGGAAACACAACTCATGACAGCAGAAGGACAGGATCGTCCCTCAGCACCTACAGTTGGCTGTCCACAGCGACGAGGAGCTCGGCAGACTGCTGGGAGGAGTAGGGCTGGGTACCTTTCTAAAAAAATCGGTATCGGTACCGGTGTCAGTACCTTCACTTCGATGTCGGTTCCTGGACGGTTCTTTTTTCGGTACCAATTTTGTAATCACTATTAATTCTAACAAGAATAAAATTACGTTACACATTACAGTACAAATTGTGAGTTTTATTTTTTAACTTAGGTATTTTTCCATTCCAAGCAGTTTTCTTACATAAAAACAAACAAATAATTTCCAGTTCAAAAGACCAGTTACAAACCAGTGACACGTCAGTGTCTAATGTTCACTGCTACACACTGAGGACCTTTTCACTGAACAGTTTTTCCTTCAGAAAAATCAACATGTCTGTTTTCTGTGGACACAAACAAGATGCTCCTGGCTGATGTTCTAGATTGCGACGAGGAGCTCGGCAGTCTGCTGGGAGGAGTTCTGCCCAGCATTTGGGCGATCCTACAGCCCGAGAGGAACCAAGAGGCCAGCCGAGTCTGGGTGGACGGATCGGACGGCATCTGCAGCCAGTTTCTTAGGATCCACTGTGGGATGGACCTTTACAAGAGATCCTTCCTGTCTACAGCCATCAGTGTCTATATCATCTCTTAATGAAATGAGGATAACAAGTTACAACAACAAATAATTTCCCTCTGGGATTAATAAAGTATTTTTGAATTGAACTGAATTGAATTGATGGTGTCTCCAGCAGTAGAACATGTTCACTCTGAGGCTGTAGATGATGATTGTTGCGCACACAGATACCTGGTTGTCAGTTTGACATATTGTCCCTCACATTCCACCTGCAGGTCACTGGATTCAATGAGGTACAGATGATGCAGACTTCTGCACCTCTGTGTCTCTGCCTGAATCTTCTCTGTGGTTCTCTGGGGTTTAGGGCTCTGATCATCTCCCTAATTGACATGAGAACAAAACATCAACAATAACATGGTTGTGTTATTATTGATCAAAAAACATTATCTAGGCTGAGAGATAAAGGTTTAACTGGTCAACAAAATCCTTTAAAGTTTAATTTACCTCCAACATGCAGTTCCAATGTAGAAAAAGGCAGCAAATTTTTAACAACAACGTCTGATTGTCCTGTGGTCTCCACCTCGCTTTTCTTTTGTCCTCACATCTGGGTCAGAACCTCCTGTGAGGAGAACATGAACATAAACAGTGAACATTAGTGAACTGTTTAAGCAGCTGATCCAATGGATGAACACATTTTTACAAGCTAAGATTTATGTTACTGTCAATCTTTAGTTAGCTTCTGAGTTTAGCTAGCTACGTAGATAAAATAAATTTACACACTAATATGTTAAAGTTAGCGTTACATGGATCATAATTTATTTCCCCGCGATGTACGTGTTAAGCTGCAGTTACGCTAACAAACGTAAACTCACCAGCTGAAGCACACAGAGACGTCCTCGGAGTTCTTTGATGAAGAGTCCGGTCGTGGAGATAATGAATCAGGACGTTCAGGCTCTACTCACAGGATGACTTTAATGCTGAGAGGAGGAGGAGGAGGCTAATGAACTCTTCTCTCCTCACAGAAAAACACGGAGCAACTTTCTGAAGCGCGTGTTGTCAAAGCCGTTCGACAACACGCGCTGCACACGTGAACCCGTCTGTGGGCGTCACCAGCACCATAGACATAATTATACATAGATTAGGTACGGCAGCTCTATACAGCTCAGGATGTAATCTGGGTGTAGTCTGCTTGTCATATGTCTGGTGTTTTGCCTGCATGCATGCTGAAACCACGTGACACGTTACAGCCAATACCGAAACTTGACACTGAAAGAAGAGTGACGTTTCAATACATACACCGACCGGTGCAGTTCGGTCGGTGCCATAAAAGAACCTCGGTTCAGTACTCAGCCCTAAGGAGGAGTGACCATCGCACTGGGAGGAGTTCTGCCCGACATTCGGGTGGTCCTACAGCCCGGAGGAACCGAGAGGCCAGTCGAGTCTGGGTGGACGGATCGGACGGCATCTGCAGCCAGTTTCTTAGGATCCACTGTGGGATGGACCTTTACAAGAGATCCTTCCTGTCTACAGACATCAGTATCTATAACATCTCTTAATGAAATGAGGATAACGAGTTACAACAACAAATAATTTCCCTTTGGGATTAATAAAGTATTTTTGAAATTGAATTGAATTTGAATTTATTATAAGTACATAGGTGTTGGCACTGTTCTGTCCAGTGATTATGCTTAGACAGTTATTGTGTTCATCTTGTAGGTTGAATGGTAGTAAGCATGAGTCAGACAGCGAAGCATAATGAAAACTTATTATGATCATGCAGTCTTAGCGTGTGTTGAAAGCAAGCTACATTCTGTGAAACGCCATCCAGTGGCTGACTTTTGAACTACAACAAGAAAGCTGTACATTATGCTGGAGCTGGTTGGGCACACATCCTGACAATGAAAGGTGGATGCCCGCGGCTTAACCAAAGTGTCTTATTTATATACAAAATTATGATTTATCTTAATATGTGCGGATAAGAGACAGGTGTGTTCCGAGAATTACGGTAGCTGTTTTCTTACATTCTTGGGGGTGGGATAAGCTCAAAAAAATTTCAGCCATTATATCGGTTATCTGCATTAGCCTTCCCATCCCAATATCGGTATCGGCAAAAGTTAAAATGTCCATTATCAGTCATACTCTAATATTTACTCACCTGTGTGAATTTGTTTGTGTCTCTTGAGCTTCGGAACTTCTACACAGACCCCGTGGTCTCTGGTTTGAGAACATCTCTTATTTTGTTTCAATTCCTCATTTCTTCTTGATTCTGAGTTTTCAGTCATGATTTCTTTTTTATCCTGGTTGTTAGCGTCAGATGAGTTCAGACCGAATAGCTGATCCTCGTATGGTTCTGGCTCCCAGTGGTTTATCTCGTTGGTCTTAGTCTCCTGCTTCTGTCCAAGCTGCTCTGGTTCATCTTTCAACTGTAAACGTCCTGATTCTTCCTGTGGATGTTCTGGTTCCTCACGGTCACAGAGAAGCTGGTCCTCCTCCTTCCATGCATACTGCCATGAGAGATCTGTAGAAAGAACACTTCACTTTAATGGTTTGATGCATCTGAAAATGCTTCTGAAACTATCAAATTAGAATTAAAGTTTGAATATAAAATAGTCTACACAAATTTTATGAATTACTTTTTTTTTATCAACTGAAAAACAAAATTTCCCCACACCACTAGTGTGAGCTGCGTCGGACAAGAAAAAAAAAAAATCGCATGAAGATTTGTTTTAAAAACATCAAACTGTTTTTGTCCCCCGTAACGGAGCGCAGGGGTGGTGGGGTGGAAATACGGTTCGTCTGTGCACGTTATGAACATGACAACTAGAAAAATAAACGAGGACAGACTTCCATTTTGTTAAAAAGGCCCACTTTGGAGGAGCTCAACAGGAACCAAAGACATTTATGCTACGTTACATCAGTGGCGATTTTAGCCTCTTTTTGGGGGTGCTCAAGCGTTCTTAAGTTTTAACTCAGCACCCCTGAAAAATAAAGAAACCATCACTAGGATTTTGTATGGAAACTCAGTTCTCAAACCTTAGATTCACAAACATATTGAATAAATTTGGAATAAATATGGAATAAATGATGGCACTTTTAAGTGGGCCAGTAAAATCTATGATTTTTTTTTTTTTTGCACTAGTCAGATCCTCAAGCCACCTGTCAATCAATTCAGCAGGCTTGTCAGCAACTGACCAATCATCAATCTCAATTTGTCCCAAAATGAAATGCCCTGTTGAATATCAGCCGTGTGTCGCAGCAGATTCCAGCGTAAACTATGAAGCAGGAAGCAGTAGAGACATTTCTCCCTTTTAGCATCTTTATTCCAGGTGACACATAATTCAATTCAATTCAGTTTATTTATAGAGCACCAAATCACAACAAAGTTGTCTCAGGGCACTTTACAGGAACATTCACATACATAAAAGCCGATTAGTAAAGTTCTCTATCTAAGGAATCCAGCAGACAAGTTGAATCTTGGCTTCTTTGCAGTCTCCCATCCTGAGCAAGCACAGTGGCAACAGTGGAAAGGAAAAACTCCCTTTTAAAAGGAAGAAACCTCCAGCAGAACCAGGCTCAGGACAAGCGGCCATCTGCTTTGACCAGCTGGTTTGAGAGGACAGGAAGGAGAGACAGACGAACACAGAATGGTAGGTCCAGGTGTATCTGAAAGACAAAAACATGTTAAGGATAGAAAAAATAATTATAAATGTTGAGCAGAGTAAGTAAAGACAGTAGCAGAGTGAAAAGTGTGGTCAGTTTGTCCTCCAGCAGTCTAAGCCTATAGCAGCATAACTAAGGGACAAGTCAGGAAACCCAAGCTGACCCTAACTATAGGATTTAGCAAAAAGGAAAGTCTTAAGCCTAGTTTTAAAAATGGATAATGTGTCTGTCATCTTTGTAGATGTTCACGCAACTGACCTGCAACTATTTTCTCTAGAATTTTTGAGATGAAAGTTAGATTAGATATACAGGTCCTTCTAAAAAAATTAGCATATTGTGATAAAGGTCATTATTTTCCATAATGTAATGATAAAAATGAAACTTTCATATATTTCAGATTCATTGCACACCAACTGAAATATTTCAGGTCTTTAATTGTTTTAATACTGATGAATATGGCATACAGCTCATAAAAACCCAAAATGCCTGTCCCAAAAAATTAGCATATGTCATCCCACCAATGAAAGACAAGTGTTTTTAATACAAAAAACACCAACCTTCAAATAATTATGTTCAGTTATGCACTCAATACTTGGTCGGGAATCCTTTTGCATGAATGACTGCTTCAATGCGGCGTGGCATGGAGACAATCAGCCTGTGGTACTGCTGAGGTGTTATGGAGGTCCAGGATGCTTCGATAGCGGCCTTAAGCTCATCCAGAGTGTTGGGTCTTGCGTCTCTCAACTTTCTCTTCACAATATCCCACAGGTTCTCTATGGGGTTCAGGTCAGGAGAGTTGGCAGGCCAATTGAGCACAGTAATACCATGGTCAGTAAACCATTTATCAGTGGTTTTGGCACTGTGAGCAGGTGCCAGGTCGTACTGAAAAATGAAATCTTCATCTCCATAAAGCTTTTCAGCAGATGGAAGCATGAAGTGCTCCAAAATCTCCTGATAGCTAGCTGCATTGACCCTGCCCTTGATAAAACACAGTGGACCAACAGCAGCAGCTGACATGGCACCCCAGACCATCACTGACAGTGGGTGCTTCACACTGGACTTCTGGCATTTCCTTCTCCCCAGTCTTCTTCCACACTCTGGCAACTTGATTTCCGAATGACATGCAAAATTTGCTGTCATCCGAAAAAAGTACTTTGGACCACTGAGCAACAGTCCAGTGCTGCTTCTCTGTAGCCCAGGTCAGGCGCTTCTGCCGCTGTTTCTGGTTCAAAAGTGGCTTGACCTGGGGAATGCGGCACCTGTAGCCCATTTCCTGCACACGTCTGTGCACGGTGGCTCTGGATGTTTCTACTCCAGACTCAGTCCACTGCTTCCGCAGGTCCCCCAAGGTCTGGAATCGGCCCTTCTCCACAATCCTCCTCAGGGTCCGGTCACCTCTTCTCGTTGTGCAGCGTTTTCTGCCACACTTTTCCCTTCCCACAGACTTCCCACTGAGGTGCCTTGATACAGCACTCTGGGAACAGCCTATTGGTTCAGCAATTTCTTTCTGTGTCTTACCCTGTTGCTTGAGGGTGTCAGTGATGGCCTTCTGGACAGCAGTCAGGTCGGCAGTCTTACCCATGATTGCGGTTTTGAGTAATGAACAAGGCTGGGAGTTTTTAAAAGCCTCAGGAATCTTTTGCAGGTGTTTAGAGTTACGTCATTGATTCAGAAGGTTAGGTTAATAGCTTGTTTAGAGAACCTTTTCATGATATGCTAATTTTTTGGGACAGGCATTTTGGGTTTTCATGAGCTGTATGCCATAATCATCAGTATTAAAATAATTAAAGACCTGAAATATTTAAGTTGGTGTGCAGTGAATCTGAAATATATGAAAGTTTCATTTTTATCATTACATTATGGAAAATAATGACCTTTATCACAATATGCTAATTTTTTTAGAAGGACCTCTAGGGCTATAGTTGGCCAGAATTTCTGAATCAAGGCAGACTTCTTAAGTAAAGGTTTAATTTGTAGTGAGAGAGAGCCGAGAGATGGATTTAGCTCAGGGGTGCTCTCTTACATTTTATAATATCTGGACTAGTTCAAGTACATGATATTATACTTAATTTTAACGGATTCTTTCATTTTTCTGGACTAAGTGATCTTGTGCTTAGAAGTACTGTGTCGGAGATGGTCTAAAAACCAGTGACATGAGACGTTAATTTTCTTTGACCCATCAAAATGAATGTGGTCATTTATTAACAGAATCAAAATTTAACATCAAACATTGTACACTTGATTATTCTGATTGAACGCAATAACACAGCTTAATTAATGAGCTTTACAATGAGAAATCATACGGCCATGATTTCTCACTTGCAACTGAAATACAACAGACATTTCTGAAGATATCTTAAATTAATTACTGGCAAGGTAGAAGAGTTGGAGTAAAGTGTAAGGAGGGAAAGTGGATACTTAGGGTTAACTAAGATAATAAAGAAAAGATGGGGAGTTATCTTGTTTGAAACCAGATAGCACGTTTCCCAGTGATTTCGGCTAGATGTACCCGAGCGTCGACCCTTTACCTTGGTGGGGTTTCAGAGAGGTCTTCTCCTGGCGTCCAGCAAGGCTGAGTCGTTTTATCTCCAGGGATTTATCTGCTTCTCATCAACTTGGGACCACGAGGCTGACTGGCCCAGCTTCCAAAATAAACTTCCCCGAAAGATAGGATTAAGTTAAGTGGAATTTCAGCAAACATGCTGAACTCCTCCTCAGCAGAACTCTCTGTTCTCCATGGAACTTCTGTTCATCCTCCAGAACTTCGGATCACTTCTGCTCTCAGAACTCTGGATCATCTCCCAGAACTTTTCTGTTCGGTTCTGCTCTCAGAACTACGCTGGAACTAGGAAGTGTCGACCTTTAAAGAGTTCTGTTTCCGGTCCCTTTTGGGAAGTCCTGATTGGTTGAAAGAACCAACAGGGGTGTGGTTTTAGTGATGTAAGAGGGTTACTACAAGTCAGAAAAACAGCGGAGATGTTTTAGGAACAGACAGAGAAATGTTTAGGAGCAGACAGAGAAATGTTTTGGCGAAGTGGGGGGACGCAGGCGCCATTAGCTTCTTATTTCTGTCTGAGAGGTTTAAAAACATGACAGTTCGTTCTAATAACTTCTTTCTGACTTTTGACCGACATCACTACTTCTCATTTCAGACAGAAGATCAAAATGCATAATTACTCTGTAACAGACATTAACTTGATTTCTACTTTGAATGAGGATTAAAAAAATCATTAATACTGTTTCACAGTTGATTTAAAATGAGTAGTTCACTTCAACATTTAAAATGGTTTGAACTAAACACACTTTTGGATTATCAAGACATTGTAAAAATTGTAATAAAAAGAGAGTGTTCTTTCAATTGATTAGTGCAGGATACAATTAGAAAGTCTCTGGATGAGCTTAATTTGTATTTCTGGATTCAAATCAATGAAATAACAGTTCCTGTCCCATGAAGGTCCTCAGGGTCAGGTTTTGACCTGAGGCTTAGTTCACTACAAATTACAGCAACCTTAAAGCTCTGTGGTACATAACCATCCATTAAAGACAAATTAATTAGATCCAAAATGTGGACGTTAATTAGGGTGAATACCTCTTTAAACAGTCTGGTTGGGATGGGATCTAGCAGACATGTGGATAGTTTGGATGACGTTATTATTTTTGACAATTCAGAGAGCTCAACAGGACAAAAACTGTCCAAACTTAAATCAGGCTCTAGTGAAATTTTTAAAGTTGCGTCATTTGACAGGGGACTAGAGATAGTAGAAGGAAGGATGGTTTGACTTTTCTCTCTAATTGAAATAATTTTATTTATAAAGAATCTCATGAAGTCATCGCTACTTATAGTTGTAGGGATACATG